GACCTGGCCACGGGTGACCCGGCCGAGAATCGACACGAACTCGGCACGATCAAACCCGTTGACCACGGGTTTGGACCCGTGCTCGAATTTAAACCGGGCTTATTTAGGATCATATATATGTAATATATGACCCCAATGGATGGGCTGCAGGCCGCCATTTTTATTTATTTTATTTTTTTTTATTATATGGGCTGGGTAGGGTTGGCCTGGGACTTGGGTCAAACCCGTGGTTGGACCGTTGCAGATCAAAGGTCTAAAATTTGACAGTTGAAAATCAACTGTCAGTTTATATATATAGATAGAAGGGATCGTATAAGAATGACGGATAGTGAAAGAAATAAAAATAGTTTTGGACCATTGGATCCAACATATCAAATGGTCGTGATCAAGTCAAATATTAAATATGACAGTAAAATATGGTGACATTGTTGTAAATAAGTGTTCATTTCGTGGTAAAATCTACACATTTAGCCATTAAATAAGGACAAACTGGTAATTACCCAATTGCACACATCACATGCGGGGGTCACTATCACCCCTACCAAACTTTCATTTCTCTCTCACAACTCACACACATGTCACGAATTTCCACCGGCGACTACTCCCACCGTAGCCATCGCTCGCCCGCCGTCGAGTGCCGCAACCATCTGCCGCTCGCTGTCGACCCCTGCCGGACCACCAAACCTGACACCTATCTCCGTCGGACTCTCGCCTTAGGTTGCAGACCGTCGCGGCCACCGCCCGGCCTGTCCCGTCGCTGCCACAACCCGGCCCGACCAGTCACAGTCCTGCCACCACCACAGTCCACCGCCGATGCCACCAAGTCAATCGCTGAAATGAACATCACGGCCATAAATCCATACGACACCTCAGCTAACGCAACCACCAACCAATCGAGTGCGACGGTGGCCTTCACGACGAGAGCCACCACATTGTCGGCTCGCAGAGACAGGAACTGCAATTATCAATCGAGAATAGGTTGATTCGAGATGGCTCGAACTCGTCGCTGGCATTGAGGAGAGAGTGATGAAATCGTCACCGGCATGAGAGGCAAGGACGACTGCAACGGTCAGGAAAAGACGGTCGGGTGTCGGGCCTCCTGGAGACCTTTTTCAGATTTTGTGGGCTCACTTTTGTAAATTTGATAAATCATAGGGACTTAATTGCAATTTTTAAACATGTTAATATATTACAATTTAATTTATGGGTCAAAATTTGTAATTAATCAAACTATAAGTAATATTTCAATAATTTTATTTAATATGTAATATTCCTATGTTGTTTTGGCTGAAACTAAATAATATGATAAATAAAAAATATAAAAAATAATTATAATAAATTTTATATAATTTGGTCATTAATTTCTTTAAGTTATTTAAATAAAAAAGCCGATATTTAATTAAAATAACTAAGCTTTTAAAAGTAAAACAAGACAATCGAATTGAATTATAAATTTTGAATTAAAAAATTTAGTTCGGTTGGCTTCGTTCAATATTGTACAAATAATCATTTATGTGCAATTCGTATAACTATAATGTGCAATCGCATTACATAAAATTTATAAAAATAATAATATTATTTATTCATATTGTTCGGTCGGTTCGATTTTTTATTATTTTAAAAATAAAGCCAACATTGAACTGAAATGACTGTGATTTAAAAGTGACAAACAGATAATCGAACAAAAATATAATCAAAGTGAAAATTCGAGTTCAATCGGTTTTGATCTGTATTGTGCAATCCGATAGTCGTGATAAAATGTAGCGTGTTGTTTTATAAAGTGCACTGTGTTGTTTTATACAGTGCAACGTGTTGATATATAAAGTGAACTACTGTAGTTTTGGTACATTAGCATGCTTGTATTTTGTGTGGATAAATGATGTGGTTGATGTTAAATTTCTATGTATATATGAATTTTAGATTTATGTTGTGTGGTACTTTTGGCGGAAGTTGTTGACAGTGATTGATTGTGGAGTGTGGTTATAAAGTGCAACGAGTTGTTTTATAAAGTGCAACATGCTGTTTTATAAAGTGCATTTTGCTGATATATAAAGTGCACTGATTTTGAAAACTAGATTTAGTTGATATAATTGTACATCGAATAACCTAGATAATTGTGATGATTTATTATTTATTATTATTAAAAAGTATGTTTATTATTTCACTATTGTTTTAAAATTTTGTATTACTTTTAGTTGATATGTTTATTTATTATTTTAATATATATGTAAAAATGTATATATAAACATATTTTTTTTTTTAAAAAATTCTTCTAAATTATAAACTTGACCCTTGGACTTAATTGAAATATATTAAATATTCATGAGTTTGCAATTGAGTCTCTATAGTTTATCAAATTTTCAAATAAAAATCCTAAACTCCAAAATTGAGCTCCATCAGATCCAGCCGTTCATGGCCGAAGACCTCATCTTCCAAAGCCGCCACCCTCTCCACCGCCGCTAGTAGAGTCTGACCGCCTCATTTAACAGCCTTTTTTTTTTTTTTATTTCTTCATTATTGGCGGAGCTCGAAGCTCCATTTTCACCGTCGAATTCATCCTTGGTCGGAGGCGGAGCTTTACCGTGCATATGGTGTAGTTGAGGACATCAAAGATGATGTCATTGGCAGTGAGGAAGGCGCCTGGATAATTGAGAAGCAGATGACAGGTTGGTCGGGGAGGAATGTTGCGGATGCTCGCCGGCGGTGGAGGCTGAACGGTGATTGTGGAGGCTCTTGGTCGGCCACCGACGGGAAGTTCGGCAGAGACGGGAAGTTGTTGACAGTGATTGATGGTGGAGTGTGGTTATAAAGTGCAACGAGTTGTTTTATAAAGTGCAACATGCTGTTTTATAAAGTGCATTTTGCTGATATATAAAGTGCACTGATTTTGAAAACTAGATTTAGTTGATATAATTGTACATCGAATAACCTAGATAATTGTGATGATTTATTATTTATTATTATTAAAGAAAGGGGGTGAGGTGGCAGGTGGGTCCTACTGTTTGTATGTGGAAATTATCGCATTACCGTTAATGAATGTATAATTTTAGCCTTTTTTGTAGCCATTAGATCATCTAATCTAATGGCTACGATGTATTCTTATTTATTTCACTGAGCATCTTTCTCATTTTAACCCAACCCTATATATATATATACACACACACACACAGTTTTGCTATCAAGCAACAGTTGGCTCCATAGTGGAGCCAACTGTTGGATTCATCGCAAAACTGTATATTTATACATATGCTTTTTGATTAGGGACCACAACAAAGCTCTCATTATCGCCTTCCACGCCCTTCTCCAAGCCTACTCGGGCTACGACGCGGAGAGTCAGACACTTCAGATCGGTCTTCAGATTGCAGCCTCTATCTCTTCTCTCATTTGGATAGAGTTGGATGCTGCTGCTGTCGCCACCCTTTTGACCTGAAGTCACCAGGGCTCGTGGCAGATTCAGCACTCGCTCATGCGTATCAGATTCATACTTCAGTCGGTTTGCTACTGGATCTCGTACATCTTCCCCGAGGGAACCGACCTGCTGATTACCTTGCCAACTTAGATGCCTCCATCCCACTGAGGCGCACCTACCACCTGGATGACGTTCCTCTTTGCCTTCGTACTCTTGTGGAGATGGACCAGATGAACTACCCTTCCTTTATATTCTAGTAGCCGTCTTGTATTTTTGTAGTTTTTTGCTTCGACCCACTTTGCGGAGCAGACTGCTTCTTGGGAACCTGTTGGTCTAGGTTCAGACTTTTCCTTTTGGTTGTTGTCTTTTTCGTTTTCTCGTTTTTGCTTTCGGTTTTTGATTCAACTTGTCTAGACCTATGATTTTTTTTTGCCCATTTAGGGTTTTGACTATATACAAGTTGGGAATCCA